ATACACCTGCTAAGCTCAGCTTAGACCTGCATTGCACTGTTCTGAAAAAACACAGAGCTCCCTACCTGCATCACTCTTACTTGCCAAAGATCAAGTTGATGGACCTCATAGCCACTATTTATGGCAGATGGCACATTCATAGTAATCTGGATGCTTTAGATAGCCTTTATGGGCTTTGCCAGATATAAAGATTTATTGATAAATTAACTCCAATGACAGAAGTATTGTAAATAACCACTTTGCCCATGCTTTTGAGAATCTATACCCCTGGTGGCTAACATTTTGTCTGAGGACAGCATGTGGCCTTTTGGCACTTTTTGTATGGCTCTCTGGGCCCCTAATGTTTCCCTATTGCCCTGTCATAGCAGTGATCTCTAGAAGTTTGTGTATTATGTCTCCAGTCTATGATTGTCTCATGAAGCATGTTACCCGTCTCCAACAACTATATCATATAATGGAAAAGTTCCATAACGGGGACACAGAAAAAAATGTTTTGTACAACGGAGGAGGGATAACACTTCCAGCCGTGTTTTCATTGCGGTCTGTTCCTTCCTGCCTTGGTGGCAGATGTACCCCTCATTTTCTTGTATGGGTATCAAACTACAGGAAGCAAAGGAAAATATTTCCAATGGGGTTCATGACAAAGTATAAAATTCTTGAAGAAATTTAAACTCTAGCCAAAACAAGAGATTTGTCAGAAGTTAGGTTTTAAAGCTTTAAATGTGTCTATGGTCAAAATGTAAATTTGCATTCATTAATCTCCCATGCTCATCTCCAGAACTTCTCCAGAGCCCCCCCATCCTCTGGAACTCTCTACCCCAATCTATCAGACTATCGCCTACTCTGTCCACTTTTAGTCGATTTCTGAAAACCTATCTTTTCAGGGAAAGCCTATCCTGCCTTCAGCTAATAATGGAATCTTCTATTCCTTCTACCAGTCCAACCCCCGCAGTTATTATCTTTTATACCACCAGCCCCTTCCTCTTAGATTGTAAACTCCAAGGACCAAGGCCCTCCTAACCCTCTTGTATTGAACTGTATTGTTGCTGTATTGTCTCCCGTTATATTGTAAAGCGCTGAGCAAACTGTTGGCGCTATATAAATCCTGTATAATAATAATAATAATCTTAGATTGTAAGCTCCCAGGATCAGGCCCTCCTAACCCTCTTGTATTGAACTGTATTGTTGCTGTATTGTCTCCCACTATTGTAAAGCGCTGAGCAAACTGTTGGCGCTATATAAATCCTGTATAATAATAATAATTTTCACATTATATTTTTAATTATTTTTAACCTGCTCCTTTTACTCTGAACAAAGTTTATAAACTTGTTTTGTGAAGATCCGCACACATTACTTCTTCCTTGAATTCTGTGACATGTATTCATTGTGTCCTGTAAATATGATGCACATTTTACAAGCCAGTCTTCTGAAATACAGGAGGCACAGTCAGTACAGGAAACACACCACATCATCATTGCTTGCATATGTAGTCTTTAGAATTTGAAAGTAAACCAAAAGAATGTGTAGAATAGACACTGCAAGACAAGATATCTCCTCAAACTATTTTACTACTTTACACTCCTTCCATTCACTGCAGTTAATTATATACTGTATGTAATGTGGAGGAGAATTTCAAATGGATTCTATATAGGAAAAAGTAATGACTACTTTATAAAGGCACAACAGAAGAAGGATTGAGGGTTAATTCACACTAAAGAAAAGCAGTCCAGATGCATTTCAGATACGTTTCCACATGTGCGGTTTTTATGTGTTCCAGTGTGTTTTTGATGCTTTTTTTACTCGTTCCAGTGCGTTTGTTATGCATTCCAGTTCATTTTTCTCCTTTCTTTTCCTTCAATTTATATAGGGACATGTGCATTCCAGTGCGTTTTTGGTGCATTGCAATGTGTTCTGGTGCGTTTTTGATGCATTTTACCACATTCCAGTTCAGTCCAGTGCAGAAAAATGCAGCATGTTCTACTTTTTTTTTTGCAACTGGAACACACTGGAACTGCAAGCACTGATGTGAACTATGACATTGGCAACCATATAACCTACTTTCTGTGTGTTTTGAATGCAGAAAAAAAGCAACTGAAACACATGTAGTGTGAACTGGCCCTGAGTGTTGCCAATATTTATAAATATTTAATAGCACTTCAGATAGTATATCTTGCCATTTTGAATGCTATTTATGAATTCCTACTAATGACATAGACAACCTGGCCTCTCTCCCCATTTTTGTGCAGCTATATCAGGACAGGAGGAGGGGGGGGGGACACCTCACAGCAGGTCAGTCTCAAGGTTGCTAGGTTGAGATCTGTGGAGGCATGAAAAACTTAGAATCAGATAGAGGGGAACTGAGGATTGCTGCAACCAAGAGCTCTATCAGTATAAAAGCTTTGGAAAATGCTTAGGATCATTTACTAATGATGCCATATGTCAGCCTAAATAAATAATTTTATACCTGCCTATTCAGCAAGTGGAAAATAATACATCAGGTGGACAAAGTGCTATAATCTTCTTCATTTTGGTTCTACATGGCAACCTGCTTACAGGTTCTGGGTTCCTATCAACAGCAAAATGTCAAATTTTTCCTGTAGAAAATATAAAATGATCATACAAATCACCAATCTAATAGTTATTTATAACATCAACCGTTTATTGCATTAAGTTCAAGACAAATATAACTGGCATCATGATCAGTGAGAAAAAGATCAGCTATTTGCAATGGCTCTCTAGAACTTCCCTCTTCTGAGTCACTTTTTGTTTCCACCCCCTACCCACCTCCGAGCATCTTCACTTGTTTCCACCCCCTACCCACCTCCCAATACCGCTTCGTTTAGAGAATACAAAGCCAAGTACCATTTTGTGGTGCTAAATAATTTGTATGGAATTTGTTAATGATAACAAGAAAAGCATAAACATAGATCCCCGCAGCCAGCAGTATTAGACTCCCCCAGCCACAATAGATTACTCCAAAACGAAATACCACCCTAGCAACAATAGACCCCCAGCAGATACAGCAGATCTGCCAGCATCAATATACTTTCCAGCAGCCATCAATAGACAATAGACCCCTCCTTCATTAGTAGATCCTGTCCAGGAACAATTGACCCCCATCAACAATAGATCCCCCACCAGCAATAGACCTCCCCAGCAACAATAGACCACCACAAAAAATGTACCCCCGTCAGTGACAATAGATCCCCCAGCAGTCAGCAACAACAGATCCTGCAGCACACTCTAGAATCCCTTTCCATTACATACTTTCAGTGCTGGAGGTGCCGGAACTGCGTTTCCCCAAGTTCCCGCTGAAAAAAAGCCCTGCTCATTATTATGATTAATCGGTAGTACAGAAATGGTACCTGTTCTGAGACTGTCTATTCTCATTGTTAGATATATTACTGCAAGCAATTGATGACATCCCCAGTCATTACTACTTTAGATTTAATACTTAGTTTATTGACTTATTTGACTATATGGTTATGATATGTGATAAAATTTGTGAGAAATGGTCACGGTTGGTCTGAAAATTCAGCCTTATATCCTACAATAATGTAGGATTTACCTATTAAAGATTAATATTTAACTCTTTAATTAGTTGCTGCCTTATCAACTTATACAGTTAACACGTTATCTCCCACCTCCTAACTAAACACAACAGTATTACACACCATTATGACTAAAGGTTTAGATTCTTGCATAGGCCCAATCATGACTGTTTCTCTTTAAGGCACTAATAGACTTAAGTTGACAGTCATCTGATGCACCAACATCCATCCTATATCTGTAAATGCTCAAAGATGTGACCGATCAGTGGGGAGAATCAGCAGTCAAGTACAGTAGGCAAGAAAGCCGATCATAATCATTATTGTTTTCAGCTGACAAGAAATGGTGCTACTCCTATTTACGAGTGAAGTGTCCATGCACACATATGTAATCAATGCTTTTTGGCTGGAAAAAAATACAGGACTTGTGGGTTTCTACAGGAGTTTTTTAGCTGTGAAAATGCTGAAAAATGCTGAAAAACTTAGCAAAATGCTGCAAACTGTTGTTTTTGGACTTGATTTGACCAAAAATTTATTTTTTTGGGGGGTCAAAAAAAACGCTAAAAAAATGTAAACGTGGGAAAACGCCGCTAGGCGCTAATGCAAAAACACAAAAAAAACCTGAAAAATTTGTGATTTTACACAGCTAACGTTACCAGCGTGTTATCAAAACGTCCAGTGTGCACGAGGACTAACAGCTAAAAAACTCCTCTAGAAACCCACTAGTCCTGGCGTTTTTTTCCTGCCAAAAAACGCCCCTGACAAAAAACGCTGATTACAGTCTATGTGTGCATGGACACATAGGATAGCATGCTGGGGAGTTTACTGTTTGTAGAAAAAAACACCAGAAGCCAAAAACAGCAGCTGTAAAAACATCCAGTGTGCATGAGGACTAATAGTTGTTAATAACATTCTTACAAAACCGTAAATATCCCTCCAGGTTCCCCCCAAAAATTGAGAGTCAGTAGCTACAAATATTGTAGCTGCTGACTTTTAATATAAGGACACTTACCTGTCTGGGACCTGTGAAGTGTCCAAGAAGGCTTCAGGGGAAGGAGGGGGCTGTCTGGCTCAGATCGCCATGGCTCACCTGAGCGGGAGTGGGAGCGGGTACCTGTCAAAGCCAGGTACCCGCTCCCCCATTGCCCCCAAAAAGTGCCAAATGTGGCAGTGGAGGGGGAGGGTGAAAACAAGCAGAACTTCCCCTTTTTGGGTGAAGTTCCGCTTTAATAGGGTCATATATATATATATATATATATATATATATATATATATATATATATATATAAAAATGAATGAAGTTCAAGTTATAAATTAGACTAGTGGCTTTCTGCTCCAGCCTTGCCTGCTTGTTTGAGCTAATGCAGTGCAGGAATTAGTTATACAGTATTCTTTTTCATTTACATCTTTATGATAAAAAAACATTTCTTTTAATGATTTGTGTTATCACAGAAAAAATCTGCCGTAATGAAGTCACAAAAAAATGAAAAAGAAAAATTAGAGGAACGTACTATGGAAATTTACATGAATTGGAAAGAAGCTCAGGAGGTCAAGCAAAAGATGGAAAAAGAAGATTCTGAGTGGCAAGAAACATGTAAGGAATTTTAAAAACTATTGTATGTGTAATTTATCAGAAATAACATAATTGAATATTGCACATATATTAAAAAAATACTGTATCTATCATGCACGTAAGATGAAGAGTTCTCGTACAGTTTAAAATTTCTGTCCACAGGACTGTTTTAATAATTAGGCAATCCTTTTACTAAGAAAAGAGTGATCTGATATATAAAGCTCTGAAAGAAACCTTCTACTTTGAGTGTATTTTCAGCTCTGAATTCCTAAGCACGTGTTTTCAGCCCTGCTTACTTCATTTCTAATGGATTCAAAGCACACGGACCTCTCCTCATCTCTCTTATTACACTGTTCAACAAATTTTTATTTTTTGCCAGTTTTGGAAACAAAAGGATCCATTTCTTAATGAATTTCACATTCTGAGTTCAAATATAACAATGAAATTTGTCAATTGGCTCTAGTTTTTCTGTAAACGGAAAGTTTTCTACTATAGGCGTAATGACTACATAATGCACAATAATTATATAGATAGATGTCTTTCCACAAATATAAAGCAAGTGATATTGACTACATAACAAAGCCTAAATGGCATAATATATTGCATAGGATTACCAAGAAAAATTATAGCCATAAGCTAAATTGAATCATTTTAATACTTAGGATTCTCACTAGTTTTGTCTTCAGTTTGTGTCGGTTTTGCTTCTCTTGGCTTTTCTCTTGTATTCGAGGAAAGGGCTATCTCTTACAACTGCACGTGACTACACGCTTCAGGTTCTTCCTCACTTGACTCAACCACGAAGGATTCTGGTGCTTTAGGAATTGGTAGCCCCTCTCCATGAGGAACTGGACGTATTGCCGATGGAATATTTGGATAGTGCACAGATAACTTTTTCTTCTTATTTAGCCCTTTTACAATTGGAGGCACCATACAAAAGTAACAATTACTAACATGATCTGTTGGCTCTCTCCAAATCATTGCACAGCGAAAGGCATAGATGCCTTTTTTTTCCATTCAACCATTGCTCCAGTGCCGTCCCACAAGAATTGCAGCATATATGTGGTGCCCAGCTCTTGTCCTGGTCTCCTATCTTGCAGCCAAAATACAAGTTGTAGGCTTTCTTAATCATTCCTGTTATCCTCCTTTTTTGTGAGATAAAAGTTATTTCACCGCAGATATAGCAGAAATTATCTGCTTTATTCACACAAGTTCGAGGCATTACTGAGTAGCCTATATAAGCATAAAACGAAATGTAAAGACGCTGTCAAACTACAATCAGCTACAGATACTGCAGCTTTTATGCAGTGAAGTGATGCAATTAAAGGCTAATATTGCATCATCATCAGTATACATGCAATTTTCTATTGGTCACCAGTATCAATTGCGCAATATGCAGCTGAAGTTGCATCATAATTTTGAATGGCTTACGTCATTAGATGGGTGAATATATCATGGAAACTAGAGCCAATCAACATTTTTTAGGGTCATTTTCGTTTTCAGCACCCCCAAAATTATGTAAGATTAGCTAATTTTATGCCCAAAACTTTTTACCTGTTGAACAGTGTTATTATTATAGAAAATTATAGCGCCAGCAGTTTGTGCAGCACTGTATCATATATAAAGGGAGACTACAGTTTCAATATGAATCAATGCAAGGTGGTTAGGAGAGCCCTGCCCATAAGAGTTTACAATTCCAATTACCCCCTGCACAGAGAAATTTCTGGAAAACTCAACAGGTATTTTTTTGTACTTAGCAAACAGATATAGCAAAATGTTTTTCAATTGTATATTTACCAGGTCAAAAGGGTGGAAAGAGGAGACATTAATTACTGGGGTTTGCATATTGTTTTGAAGAAAACTTCAGTTCCAGTACAGGAATGTTAAACATACTATAGATCTTATTAGAAATGCTGGCTGTCACTTTAAACAAACTGTTAGCAGGCTTTCAACAAGATGCTGAAGTCTAACGAAGCCCTTGTTTTAAAGTGACAGTCCACATTACTATTAAGATTTGTGTTTAAGCTCCCCAAATTGGAGATATTCTACTTTATAGTATGACTAAAGTCTAAATAGGTCCCATATCCAGTAAACGAAAAACGTCCTTTACTTTCACCTACTGAACCAAATCTTCCTTCATTTGTGTCTCATATGCTTATTTCCCAGACACTGCAGCTCACAGTGTGAGGATACAACAACAGGCAGTGCTGCCAATCCAGAAAGCAGTGGGCAGCACTAAAGTGAGGTCAGGTGCTGCTTGTTTTTTTTTCAAAAATTAGAGGATATAGTTCCACCATAAAGGTTTAAATAAAGAGGAACTTCAGTTCCTCTCCATTAGGGCCCAAGCCCTCCTCAGACACCTCCATATTTGTTATTCCAGCATGTGCACAGATGTCCCAAAAGGCATTACCTGGCCTTCAGGTCTGGCAGAGCCCTGTGGCACATCAGGGCTTTCTCCTACGCATGCACAGACATGCCGAGCTTTGACACTTGAACCCCAGCCTGTGTGAGTAGATGTACTATGGGCCTTTGTGGGAACCTGAAGCCCTGCGGCACATCAGGGCACACACAAAGGTTTCTCCTACGTATGCACAGACATGCTGAGCTATGGCACTTGAACCCAAGCCTGTGTAGTAGATGTACTATGGGCCTTTGTGGGAACCTGAAGCCCTGATGCACATCAGGGCACACACAAGGGTTTCTCCTACACATGCACAGACATGCCTAGCTATGAGACTTGAAACCCAGCCTGTAGTAGATGTACTATGGGCCTTTGTGGGAACCTGAAGCCCTGCGGCACATCAGGGCACACACAAAGGTTTCACACATGCACAGCCATGTCGAGCTTTGACACTTGAACCCCAGCCTGGTAAGTAGATGTACTATGGGCCTTTGTGGGAACATGAAGCCCTGCTGCACATCAGGGCACACACAAGGGTTTCTCCTACGCATGCACAGACATGTCGAGCTTTGACACTTGAACCCCAGCCTGTGTAAGTAGATGTACTATGGGCCTTTGTGGGAACATGAAGCCCTGTGGCACATCAGGGCACACACAAGGGTTTCTCCTACGCATGCACAGACATGCTGAGCTATGGCACTTGAACCCCAGCCTGTGTGAGTAGATGTGCTATAGGCCTTTGTGGGAACATGAAGCCCTGCTGCACATCAGGGCACACACAAGGGTTTCTCCTACGCATGCACAGACATGCTGAGCTATGGCACTTGAACCCCAGCCTGTGTGAGTAGATGTACTATAGGTCTTTGTGGGAACATGAAGCCCTGCTGCACATCAGGGCACACACAAGGGTTTCTCCTACGCATGCACAGACATGCTGAGCTATGGCACTTGAACCCCAGCCTGTGTGAGTAGATGTACTATAGGTCTTTGTGGGAACATGAAGCCCTGCTGCACATCAAGGCACACACAAGGGTTTCTCCTACGCATGCACAGACATGCCTAGCTATGAGACTTGAACCCCAGCCTGTGTGAGTAGATGTACTATGGGCCTTTGTGGGAACATGAAGCCCTGCGGCACATCAGGGTACACACAAGGGTTTCTCCTATGCATGCACAGACATGCCAAACTTTGAGACTTGAACCCCAGCATGTGTGAGTAGATGTACTATAGGCCTTTGTGGGGACCTGAAACCCTACGGGACATCTGAGTATGTGCAGAATTGGGGGGGCAAACGTAATTGTCTAGACAAGTTAGACAGACGTTGTTTTTACGTTGGCCTTTTCAATTACATGCAGCTGTTTTTCAGCTGCCAATTTCCCAGCAGGCTCCTTTGACTTTTTATAGAGGGATATTGGGCGGGAAGCAGCTGACAAGGCCATATATTTCTCAAGAACCAGATGAAGTTTGTACAGTTTATGGCCAACTTTAGTGTTTAGGTCAGAAACTTCCTGAAGTGTCTACATATTTTTGCTATTCCAAAAGATGCCTGAACCTGCCGAAAGAAATGAATGTTTCCAGCATCTTAAATAAATAAGTTGTGCCATTTCATAGATTTTAAATACATGAAACCTAGTGGTACATAAAGTATTAAACAATTTCACAAATGTAAACAAACACATGCTGTGTACTAATTCTTGGGCAGTGAACCCACACCTACTCACTGACTGTTGTCAGTGAACTACCGAACAGCTGTGAGGTCAGGCCTCCTACTGTTACAGGCTAATATAGGAGCTCTGCATTGTGACAGTGTCCCTTTAAACAATTATGGTATGATCCAAAACATCTACAATATCATTAAAGTCTTAGATGTGTGACTGCAGAATTGAAAGGATAGGATAATAGGTTCAGGTATGACGTGGTGTGTCACTTGACTGGGAAATGGGACAAGTTTATTATGACTCACTCAAAGCTGGTTGCTCAGCCTTCAGGTCCTTCAGTTCCAATGCCAGCATTTTACTATTCTGTTTATAGTATATTTCTCAGTATCTGACCCAAATAATCTGTTGTCTTGTAACTAAATGTACTTATCTTTGTGATTTCTTATCAAAACAGAGTTCATGAACAAATTGCGTGCAATAGTACTATTCTTACTAAACCCAGGACCCTGCATTCACTATATCTGATCTCCTACAGTACACTGAACATGGAAATGCAATTATTTTAGTAAATATAATCTGCTAAATACCTTTTCTCATCAGCAGTTAGAGCAATCTTGTCACTTCTATCAGTGTCCAGCAGAGCACTGGTTAAAGCTTGTAAGAGGCGTTTTCTTTCTCCTCCCACTGTCTTATGAGGGTGCATAACCCCTGACCCTCTGTCTGGACAGTGATTGGCTCTGTGCTGATCACATGCACTCTCCCAAAGAAAAAGTCATGTGCAGAGTGACTCTTATAGCTCTGTACTATCAGCAGATGGATTGGGGACAGAAGAAGGGGAGGATCAGAGAAATCAGAATCAAACAGCCTTTTTACACAATGCGGAGGATTAACCCCTCAGGTTCCACAGTAAGTATAAAAATCATGCTTTACTGCATATTCAGACTGATTTTACTGCTGTAGGTTT